TCCTGTCACCAGCTTTAAAAGCCAGCCTCAGAACAAGTCGGGCCCACCATGGTAGCCTAGTCGCTAAAGTCCTTGCCTTGAACTCACAGGGATCCCATATGGGCACTGGTTCTAATCCTGGCAGCCCCGCTTCCCATCCAGCTCCCAGCTTGTGGCCTGGGAAAGCAGTCGAGGACGGCCCAAAGAATTGGGACCCTGCCCCTGTGTGAGAGACCCAGAGGAGGCTCCTGGCTTCAGATTGGCACAGCTCCAGCCATTATAGCCACTTGGGTAGTGAATCACTGGATGGAAGATCTTCCTCTCTGTCTCTCCTCCTCTCTGTATATCTGACTTTCCAATAAAAATGTAATAAATCTTAAAAAAAAAAAAACAGTAAAGGTCAGCAGACGGCCTGTCAGGGTTCCGGGGGGCTCTCTGAGATCTGCATGGGAAGACCCAGCTTTGGGGGAGCACGGCTTAAGGGCAAGATAGGTCACCTGCGCCATGACATGTGTAATATAGCCCAACTTCAGGCTATCCAGAGAAAGTACTGTACTAACACCTGTGCATTTTGTTTGCACGGAAATGATTCTTTAAATCACCTAAATGAGGCATTTTCAACTGAGAAGAGAGAAAAACCAAACACAAACCTTTCCCGTAGCATTCTGTGGGGCAGGTATTTGCATAAGACAAATCGTTAGATTTGAAGCACGAATTCATCAGTTTAGCTTTCAAGGAAAAACACGAACGGAACCCAACTGCGTACTTGACATTATATTGGCAAAGCCAGCAGGTCACTGAGTACTTTTGTAAAGTTCCACTGGCCTAGATGAGGCTTGTAGTGACAACCAACTAGAACAAGAGGGTTGTGCGACCACCAAGCATGACATCAAACGCATTTGACACTGGTTATCAACAACATCCGTTGGCTTCCTAAAGCAACGACTTCTAAACAGAGAAGACTGGGGCTGTTACAAGAGTGGGGGTTCCGACCAGCGGCTAAGATGCCTGCACCCCACATCATTCTGAGCTAGGTTTGAGTGCCAGGTTTGTCCCCACCTCCGGCCCCTGTCATTGCTCACCCTGGGGGGCAGTGGTGATGGTCCAAGCACCTGAACGGAAGCTGTGCTCTCACACAGGAGTCCTGGGATGGCGCTCCTGGCTCTCAGCTCCAGCCTGGCTGCCTCAGCCATCGGGAGTGTGAACCTGCAATTGGACTATACTCTCTCTCTGATTCTCAAATCAATTGAAAATGAAAATCTTCTTAGATTGATTTGAAAATGAAAAGCTTGACTCAGCAGCTGGCCAGCCCATGGTTTATTGCAGGGCCTGGGACATCCTTGCTGGAGGCAGCACTTTTGGGAATATGGGCTGCAGTGCTGCCCATTTTTTGCCAGGTTATCATGGTACCTGCCGAACTTGGCAGGTGGCTCCTTTCTCCTTTTTCCACTTTAAGGGAGAAGCAAAACAAAACAAAACTTAAAACAAAACTAACCTCCCCAAACAACAAACAATCCTCTTCCTAAGCCACCGAGGGACCCACTCCTGAGCTGGGTTAACCTCTCACCTTTGACATCATCTAATGCTAGTGAAGGTCAAAGTTGAACTCCCAACTTTGACTGAGAACAAATGACTAAAAACACTCTGCTACTGGGAGCTCGAAGTGCTACCCCGGCTCTGTGCGTTCTTCTTGCGTGCGTTTGTGGGCTGGGTAGAGACGTTAGCTTCTATCATGAGCCTGCCAAGAGCTGTTTGCTGCCCAGGAACTTGGGCACGAGTGCCTGCCTACTCTCTGACTACAAGGCACCAAAGGGCTCATTTTCATGGGCGTTGTGAAGAGAGAGGCCTTGATGCAAGAAAGGCTCTGGAACTTTGAAAAACAGAGCAGAATCTTAGTAAGCAGAGTTTGATAGAATACATATAGCTTTGTTAGCAAATGAATCTAGCGGGTACAGAATAACTTAAGCATGTTTCATAATGCCCCCCGCCATGCAACATGGTGGCATAGCAGGCCATCTGCTGTGCACAGCAGCGGCGTCCCATTTGAGTGCCAGTTTACGTTCTGGTTACTCCCCTCCCCATCCAGTTTCCTGCTTGTGGCCTGAGAAAGCAGGGGAAGATGGCTCAAATAGCCTTGGGCCCCTGCACCTGCATGGGAGACCCGGAAGAAGCTCCTGGCTCTTAGCTTTGGATCAGCTCAGTTCCAACCATTGTGGCCACCTGGGGAGTGAACCAGCGGATGGCAGATATCTCTCTGTCTCTTTTCTCTGTAAATCTGCCTTTCAAATGAAAAAAAAAAAAATCTTTTAAAAAAAGATTGTATTCCAGTGGTATGTAGTAATTATATAGTTCATGTTGTCAGGGATAGATCACATTTAGAAAATGGTGGTCACAAAACAAAGCTGTTACAATGTCTGATTGTTCCAGTTATGTCAAGGAGACCTCCTCTTCTGCTCCTTGACACAGCTTGTTTCCAGGTGTATGTTCAGAATCCCCTTTATAAGAAATGGGATGTTGGTTATGGATTCTGTGATTTAAATTTCAAAGGACAATAGACTTGTACTAGTTCTCCCTATAGTTATTAACCTACCACAGGAAAATCATAACCGAATTATGGACAGAGCACAAGTAAAGTTCGTTCGAGAAGCAATTCGCCTTAAAGAGTATTAAATTGAATTTAGATTGTTGCCTATTCACTCACCTATTGATATGCCTCAGACTTTGCATATATCCCTAAACCAATTTTGATTTTTCCACATTGATTTGAACACTCTCATTCACTTAGCTGGAAAGACCGCATCTGCTCCAAAGCCATTAGATCAATGGCAGACTCGTCTCTCTTAAAGCTAATTTGTAGCCATTTGGAACATTTGCCCATTAATAATAAAAACCAAGAGGAGTTGAAATCACTATCTGAAGAACAGAGCCCAAGTTCTTCTTCCAGACGGTATCTGGAACAAACAAACAAAAAGCATATAATGCAGAGTGACAAATGACTTTGTAGAACCTAAGTCTAGTTTGGGCCCTTTGAGATGCAAGTCAAAGAGCTTTTAGCAAAAAAAACAGGGACTTTAGAACTTCCTGTACTGGCTGCAGTGCAGAATCTAAGCAAGGGGCAGGGACACAGCAAGTTGAGCCACCGCCTGGGCGTTGGGGGGGGGGGGGGAAGCATCCCACGGAGGACCGTGGGACCACCACGGTATCACCTCCACTTCACATCAGTCTCCTGCTCTTGCGAGCCCTGAGAAGCAGCAGGTGACCTGAGTGCTGAGGTTCCTGCCTCCCATCCCCAGACGGGGCTGCAGTTCCTGGCTCCAGGCTTGGGCCCCAGCCCCAGCTGCCGCGGGAATTTGGGGGAGCGAACCGAGCCATCTCTTTCTAACTCTCCCTTTCTCTCTCTTTTTTTTGGAAGAGTGAAGCCCGAGGGATGCGAATTCTTTGACTATACAATGAACACCCTTGCCACTGTTGTCATTGTCTCTTGGCAGACAGCATGCAACTGCCCTGAGGTTCAGAGTTTGCATAGTTTTTTGGGGGGGAAATGAATCAGCGGAGACCCAGAAGGCAAGAATCTAATCGGTCCTGCCCAGCTTATCTACAGGGCAGACTCTCAAGTCCATTTGGAAAGATCCACGGCACTACAGCTCCGTTTTTCAGTTCGTCCCTCCCCTTGCTTCACAAGTTTTCCGCACATCACCCAGCCCCCTGCTGGGGTGATCTGCTAATCCCGACGTGGAGCTGGTCCTGCTGAAGGGAGCCCCTCTGGATTGCAGGAACCGCATAAAGGGGAAGACTTGACCGGGCCAGGCCATCCCTCCTCACAGCATTTTAGACGCAAGGCAGTTCCACTTTCCTGCTTCAAAAATCGGGCTTGCATCTCCAACCAATCCCTTCCTGCAACTCCCCAGGACTTAACAAAGTCAAACGTAACAGGACCTTTGTTTCTGCAGCCCTTGGGACTTCTCCTATCTTCCCCCTTTGCATTCTTGCAAACGTGAGGAGGCCCCCCTTACCCCCCCCCACACACACACGCCGGTCGCCCCCTCGGGCCCCCTCATAAATGAATGAGGCTCTCAGGCAGACCCGGGCCCGGCGGCGGGGCTGATATCGATCAGCGCCGGCCAGTGTGTTTGCCTGCGATTGTTTGGGGGCTGCTTAATTGAGTGTCAGGCCCGGCCAAGCGTCGTCTTGCTGGCGCCGGGAGCTTTTGGATTTGCTAATTTTCGTGATGCGTCTCCGGCCGGCTCCCCGGGCCCCTAGTGTCTACCCCGGAGAAGCCAGCAGCTCCCCGGCCCTCCACGGCTCTTGTCTGTCTGGGGCTTTATTGATCCTCTCCGCCTCGGCGGCTCGAGGGGGAGAAGGAGAGCTGCGGGAGGCAGGGAGGACAGAAGGGCAGGCAGCGCACCCCGTCTCTACCTCCTTTTCCCCTTGCCACGCACGCCTCACCCCCGGGGTAGGTCACCCAGCCCCGGGTCGGGGGCGTGAAGGAGGCCACGGTCGGCTCGAGGCTGGGCTGCGAGCGTCTCAGGGTGCAGGGTGCAGGGTGCAGGGTGCAGGGTGCAGGGTGCAGGGGACGTCCACTCCGGGCTCCCCGCGCGTCCAGAAGGCCGGGGGCGCACGGGCCTCCGCCAGGGGGAGCGCAGGGGACGCCAGCGGCCCAAAGAGGCCGGTGCCAGTGGCCGCCGCGCGCGCGCGCGTCCCTGTCCAGCCCGCCCCTGCCCGGTCCGGTCGCCAATCGGACAGCGCCGGGGCGGGCCCGGGGCGGAGCGCCGCGGCTCGGGGGGCCTCCCGCGCGGGGCGCTATTTGAGACGCGCCGCGGCGCTGGCCGCGGCTGGGCCGGGGGGTTCGTGCGCGGGGTGCGAGCTGGCGGCGCGGCCCGGCGGCGCTCCTGGAGCTCGGCCTACTGCGCTGAGCTTCCCCCGACCGCGGCGGCCACCGTCCCAGCGCGCCCCATGCTGCTGCGGCCGCCGCCCGGCCCCTCCTCGCCCCGGCGCTGACGGCGGCCCGGAGCCGAGCGCGGCGCGCCCCGGGGCTGGGGGCGGGCGTCCATGGAGCGCCACTCCAGTTACTTCTTCGTCTGGCTGCAGCTGGAGCTGTGCGCCGTGGCTGTGTTGCTCACCAAAGGTAAGTGCCGGGGGCGCGGGGCGCGGGGCGCGGGGCGCGGGCTCCCCCGGGCTCTCCCGCTCCCAAGCCGGCTCTGGTGCGGGGGGCCGGTGGCGGCCCCCTGTGTGTACTCGCGGCTGTCCCGGGGTCTGTGTGAGGAATGACTGGAGTGTATGCGTGTATGTGTGCTTGTGTCTCTAGGCGTGTGTGAACCTGGCCGTGTGTCCCTGGACCCGTGTGTGTGTGTATGTGTGTCTGTCTGTCGTGTGTCTCCATCAGTGTGTGTGCCTGCGTGTCCCTGGGCCCGTGTGCGTGCGCGTGTCTATCTCTTGTACGTGTTTGCGGGTCTCTGGACCCGTGTGTGTGTGTGTGTCTCCATCAATGGGTGCGTGTCCCGACCCGTGCGTATGTGTGCTCGCGTCTCTACCTCGCCTATCTCTGTGTTTGAGTATCCCTGACCTGTGTGTGTGTCTCTCCATCAGTGTGTGTCTGCGTGTTCGTGGACGTGTATGCGTGATTATCTCGTGGGTCTCAGTCAGTGTGTGAGTGTTTCGGAGTGTGTCTAGGTGTGCCATTGGCCGAGCCAGAGGATCCTCCGGGCTGTGGTGTGTCTCGGGGCTGTGGCCCCGCTGTCCACGCACCCTGGACTCGGAGAAGACAGTGAGTCCCCTTTCCTCCCCAAGTTTCGCCTTCCTAGACGGCTGGGCTCCGTCGGAGAGCCCTTTGGTGAAAGGGCGCTTTTTTTTTTCTCTCTAAATAGGAAGAGTTTCCTAGCCCGTTTCACCCCCTACTTTTCTCTAATTGCTATGTAGCAGGCATGAGGTTAAAGGATCAGCTACCCCGGCGAGGGCGATGTGCTACAGTATTTATTTATTTTGGAAGGAAGGGTGTAATTAACCCTAAATAACAGCCCTGCGCGTCGCCGAGGGCAGCCTGCTGCCCTATCAAAGGCCGGCCGAGCGGGAGGGACGGGGCTGACGCGAAGTGGCGGAGACCGAAACTGCGGGCCTGATAATGATAGCATTAGGGGATCAGACGGCACGAAGCCTGCACTGGCTCCCCGTAGCCATCTTGACGAAAGCAGACATTTTTCTGTAGTCACCACGTCCAGGAAGCAGCAAAGGGTGCACACAGGAGCATTGTTCTGCGTTTCTGAGCCCTGGCCTGCAGCGGGCCCAGAAACTTTCAGGGAGCGGCAGAAACGCACTTTGAAGCCGGTTTAACACAAGCAGCCATTCTCTGGCTCCGTGTTTTTTTTTTTTTTTTTAATTTTCTTTTTAAGCCGATGTTTGCCCTTTCCCAGTTACTTATCCCAGCGTTTCACGGATGAGCGTGTTCTTGGTCCTGGCAGAGCGGCTCTGTAAACGGGGACGCGGCCGCTGCGAGGCTGTTGGCTCTCCTGTGAATTTGCCTTGCCCCGGCTTGGGGGCCGAGTCTGTCTCAGGCGGGCTCTAGGCAGACAGCGTGGAAAGGGGGGGGGGGGTCAAGCACAGAACTTGGGCAGAGCAGGGGCTGTAGCCAGGCGGGCAGGAGCTGAGCAAATCAGAGGGTTCCACGTGCACCGGTCTGGAATTTGGAGAGATAATTCAATGAGACACCTTCAGCAGCAGATGCGTAGGGAAGAGCGAAGGTTGGAGGGTCTGGAAGTGGAGGAGCCTTCTGCTTGTGTTTGCAGCGGCTGGGGCATACAGGGTTGGGGGGTGCTGGGGGAGGGGCGGCGGTCACTGGAGGAGCCAGGTTACCCCCGACAGGAAGCTGCTGGGCCAGCCTGTCACGGGAGACTCCCCTAGCCCAGCAGCACACAGAATCAGTTTTTATAAAGGAAACTTGTAATCACTTCCTGTTGGGGAAGTTGAGGTTTCCTTTACTGGGCTTTTTCATTCAAGCCGCGGAAGACTTTTTAACCCCCTGTTACATCGCTTGTCGACTGACAGGGCATGCTGGGGTGGGAGTCGGAGGAGAAGTTAGCCCTTGTGTTACGGGGCCTCCCCACCCCCCCTTCCCATTTTTATGGCTTTCCATTTGGGCCCGACGAAATTGACTTTGGCAAGCAAGCCACTAATTGTAAAGTGCCTGGTTCCTGTTTTACAATACCCCGACTCAAAGCTCCTCTTTGGGGCAGGATCTTTACAGGCCTAAGTTTGCCTTTTTGGAGAAGTTGCAAATGGCTGCCAGTTTCCTAGTTTTCAGACCTGACCTCAGCAATTTCTAGATTGTTGTGTTTCTGGTTAATAACTTTATAAGGTGTTAGCTCAAGCTCTTAAATCTTGGCATGGTCCTTCGGGATAGTAAACAATTCAGTAGTTCCGATCAAATATTTATACTGACAAAAATGTTAAAAAGCCTGAAGTTCTGTCGTACGGTCGGCTAGGGTCAGACTGGATACAGTTTTTCTTGAAAACAAAAAGTGCCCCTTTCCTTCCAAAGATTGACTTTAACTTATTTGAGAGAGTGAGTTAAGAGAGCGAGCGCTCCCGTACACTGACTGAGCCTGGGACTCCTCCGGGGTCCCCCGTGTGGGTGGTAGTAAAGGGCCCCCAAAGCACTTGGGCCATCCTTGGCTGCTTCTGAAGGCTCATCATTGGGGAGCTGGATCAGGGACCATGGGGAGGTGGGATGCCAGTGTTGCAGGGGACCTCGCCCCGAGGCTTTGCAGCCTGCATAGCCTGGTCTGCCAGCCTGACAGTAGTAGCTCTGTGTGTGTGTGTGTGTGTGTGTGTGTGTGTGTGTGTGTGTGTGTGTGTAGGCTGACCCTTGGCATAGGCTGCTCTGCCAGCCTGATGGTAGTAGCTGCGTGTGTGTGTGTGCGCGCGCGCGCGGGCACGCACATGTGGAGGCTGACCCAGGGCTGACATTGCTGCTTTGCAGGTGAGATCCGCTGCTACTGTGATGCTGCTCACTGCGTGGCGACCGGCTACATGTGCAAGTCAGAGCTGAGCGCCTGCTTCTCCCGACCGCTGGATCCTCAGAACACAAACTCCCCCCTCAGCCACGGCTGCCTGGACTCTGTCGCCAGCACGGCCGATGCGTGCCAAGCCAAACAGACGCACAACCACTCCGGCACCAGCGTGCCCACATTGGAATGCTGTCATGAGGACATGTGCAATTACAGAGGCTTGCATGATGTGCTCTCTGCACCCAGGGGAGAGGCCCCAGGTAGGTGGGGGTAGCTGCAGCCACGCTCTGTGTGTGTGTGTGTGTGTGTGTCTGTCGATTCTGTCGCTAATGGGATTAGAGACAGGGGAGAGGCCCATTTCTCTTGGAGTGCCTTTTATGTCTGCATGAGCATTTGCTGTCTGCAGAAGAGGTCTGGCCCGTTGTTTTCAACATTTGGAAGACCGTAAGAGGCCATTCCTTCTCAGTCTGTAAACACGTGTCTGGGAAGGGGTCCCTTCACCGGATGGTATTTGTGAGACTGATTGATCTGGTTTTCTTTCCCGATCACGCGGATGGCCCTGGGAGGGGCTCCCTTGTTCCACCCGAGTGGGGATGAGGAGGACCCCCCGATAGACAGCCTCATGGTTTCGCTTGTGCTGCTCTAGGTGCCAGCGGCAGGTACCAGCACGACGGCAACAGGAACCTGCTGAGCAAGGTGCAGGAGCTGAGCTCGTCCAAGGAGCTGTGGTTCCGCGCCGCGGTGATCGCCGTGCCCATCGCGGGCGGCCTCATCCTGGTGCTGCTCATCATGCTGGCCCTGAGGATGCTGCGCAGCGAGAACAAGAGACTGCGGGACCAGCGGCAGCAGATGCTGTCACGGCTGCACTACAGCTTCCACGGACACCACTCGAAAAAGGGCCAGGTGGCCAAGCTGGACCTGGAGTGCATGGTGCCCGTCAGCGGGCATGAGAACTGCTGTCTGACCTGCGACAGACTGAGGCACGGAGACCTGCGCAGCGAGAAGGTCCTGTCCCTCGTGCACTGGGGCATGTGCAGCGGGCACGGCAAGCTGGAATTCGTATGACGGGGGGCCCCACCCGGCGCACTCGCTGGCGCCGGCTTCTGCTGGGACAGGCGCACTTTACAAGAGTCACCTTGGAGAGATGGCAGGCCCCTGCCCGCCACCAAGGAGACCTGGGGGACTCCTCCGGAAGGATTATTTGCACAGCCTGGAGATGTAGTGTTGGCTTGAAAATGACAAAAACATTTAAAAAAAAAATTAAAAAGTGAAGTGGAGCCGCTGTACACGCTGTTAGCAGGGTTGTTCACGGGAGTGGGAACTGAGTGCTTCGGTCAAGTACGTGTGTGCTCTGGGCGCTCTGACACCCTGCCTTAGTGTAAAGATTTTGGAAAAAAATATATATATATATTGTGTGAAGTTGATAGTGTCTTTTGTGTCAGTGGGCATCTGTTGAGAGTGGAGGTGTGTCTGTCGCTGCTCCCTGCTGAGGCTGCAGCCTGCCAGCAGCACTTGCCATGCGAGCAGGCTCCGTTCCCTCACTCAAACATGTATGTGTGTTCCTAGCAGTGAGAACACCGCGTTACTGTAAGGCTCATTTTTTTGGGTTTTTTTTTTTTTTTTTTTTTTTTTTTTTTGCTAAGTTGGCTTAGCATAAGTAATCTTTATTAACTTGTTTATCGAGCTGTTTTGGTAAAACTGTTGCAAATACGTGAGCTCTGCTGGAAGAGAAAAGAAAATAAAACCCAATTCATTTTTTTTTTCAAACAAGATGAAATGTTTTGGGCCCCCCCCGAATTGGCCAGATTTTATTGTACAACAATCCAAGTTTTCAAACCTAATTTTTTGGCATGTTATATACTTTTATTTAGAAACTGCTTGCAGTGAGAGTTAGATGCTGATTGGAAGTCAGATATGACTGGGTTTCTCGCCTTTAAAAGCTCCTTTTGGTTGATGCAAGCGAGTGGGATGTTGGTGCTAGCCAGTAAGTACCACAGCTGAGCAAGAGCTGAACCCTCCTGTGAGGCGTTAAGCCGCCAACCTGCACTTAAGCCTGGTCACGTTCGTGCGGTTTTCCATCAGGTGGATCCTGATTATGTAAGGAAAATAATTTGTTGTCGAGGATTTTTTTTTCTTGATTCTTCTATATGTTTGAGGTGTTTGCTTAAAAATGAACCCATGGCCTACGTATTGGAGTATGCAGTTTTCTTTGCAGATGTTTTGGGCATACTTTCTTGGGGTGCATGCATTTTGTTTGAAAGAGTGACAGAGAGGGAGAGACGGAGATCTTCTATTTGCTGATTTATTCCTCCAATGGTTGCATTGGTCAGAGCTGAGCTCATCTGGGAGACAGCTTCTTCCAGGTCTCTGACATGGGTGCAGGGGCCCAAGGCCTTGGCTCATCCTTTGCTGCTTTCCTAAGTGCATAAGCAGCGAGCTGGATCTGAAGTGGAGCAGCGGGTACTGCAGGCAGAAGAGTAGCACGCAGAGCCGCCACACCGGCCCCTGCCATATTTACTAGAACAGTGAATGAGCCGAGTCCTTTTGACAAAAGAGTCACATTCAGGGAAGAATCTAGCATGAAAAGAAGTACCTGGATGATTAAACGCATAGTGAACCTGTGTCCCCAACAAACCTGGCTATAGCATGAATGCGCATTTTTATAAATGATAGTGTTTGTGCTGTGGTTTCTGGGGCCAATTGCTCGGTCTTCCGTGTGGCTGTGTTTGGGGGACCCGAAGACGATCCTGGCTCCTCAGCCCTGGCGTACAGGTGATGCTGGATCAAAAACTTGATGGCTGGTTCCACTCCAACCGTAGATTGCACTCTGGTTCTGGTCCTTCTCGAGAGGGGGAGACTTGGTTCAGCACCCCAGCCCCGCTTCCTCATCAGCCTTTGGAAGGGGTGTGTGTGTGTGTGTGTGTGTGTGTGTGTGTGTGTGTGTGCAAGAAAGCATTCCTTCCAGGCTCTGGTTGGCTAGGAGCTCAGCGAGGCCCTGGAAGAAGCATCAGTGCAGAAGGAAAAGCCAGCTGCTGGGCTTGGTGCACATGGTCACACAAGTTAACAGGTCAGGGTCTTCCTGCTATTGTGCGTACTGGCTTGCCTCCTGTCCCCAACTCCCCCGCCCCACAGGAAGGGTGCTGTGTGTGTATGGTCTTGGGTGTCTGGGGCTCCAGTGGCAGCTGCATCCTAGCTCAACGTGCCCCTACCTAGCGCCAAGCTCCCTCTTTGAGGAGCATTCATTTCATACTTAAATGTGTCCTCAGCAAGCATTCTGCATGGGCTCTGGCAACCCAAAGGGCAGAGCGCAGCCTCCTCTGCTTTGCACCGACCCACCTCTGCTAGGACCCATGGAATGGCTTTGCTCATTCTGAGATGTCCACACAAGGTGGACTCTCCATGAAAAGCTTCCTGCACCAAAAAAAAGGAAAACAAAAACACACAACAAAAACTTTGTAAATGGGAATTTGTCTGAACCGAAACAAGTGGGACCACAAACTTGCCAGGCTTTTCTGTACCTGCCCGTTGGGCGACATGGATGTGTTGCAAGTGGTTTTCTGTGATTTTTTTTTTGTCTCCTCTGCATGGCTCGGGAGCTTCCTGGCAGTTGACTGGCATGTCTCTAATTTCTGCTACGCTGATTTTATTAAAAACATGGCACCACAGGGGGGTTGACCTTCTAAAATACCAAACACGTCTGCCTTCGCAAATCACAGAGCTCTCGTCAGTCTGGTTTCAATACGGCTTGATTATAGGCGGAACGCTTGAAAGCAGTGGCTGCTGGTGTGGTCATGCTGGCGCTGGCCTTGCTGGGGGCGACACAACTTTTTTTTTTTCCCTCACATCTCAGTAATCTTGGAGTGAACTAGAATATTCAGTATAAGCTGAGAGCTTGCGCCCATTATTACACAAGAGCTGTTTTAATAGTTCAGATCTCTGCCAGTGTGAGGTTTGCAGAACTGCAGGTAGGTCTAGAATGTTCCTTCTCAATTGGCTGCATTTAGCTTCTCACACCTACCAAATATGTCTGTTTGCCATCGTCTGAGATGCTTAAGTTTTGTTTGTGGGGCTGGTGCAGTGGCCTAGCATCGTAATTCCCTACCTGCAGCAATGTCATCCTATATGGATGCAGTTTGTGTCCCAGCTGCTGCAATGGGAGAGAGTGGTACAGACAGTGGGAGATCTGTTGCTGATTTGCTCCCCAGATGGCCCCAACAGCCTTACCCAGTCCTGTGGAAGTCAGGAGCTTCATCTGGGTCTGTTGTGTGGGTACAAGGGCCCAAGCACTTGGGTCATCCTTTTCTGCTTTCCCAGATGCGTAAGGAAGCTGGATCGGAAGTGGAGCAGCAGGTTCGTGAACCCTTGCCCATGTGGGATGCCAGCACCTTAGGCGGTGTCACAGAGCTGCACCGCCCTCCCCCTTTTATTTCTGTATTTGAGCTAATGATATTCCTTTAAAACCTTGAACCGGTAGAGGTGGCTGTTATCCAAGGAGTGTAATGTGCTAACACATCACGTTTCTGTGTGGCTTGGGCAGTGTTTGTTCCATTGATGCCTTTGGACACAATGCAGCTCTCCATGACACCTGCTCCTTAGCTGCCTCTGCAGAATACAAGTTGTTCCACCACTGGAGTTGGGGACTTTGCAAATGCAGGGATTGGGAAGGGAGCTGGTTTGTGAAAAAGCATCAAAATAGATGAAATGGATTTAGTTACTAACTACCTTAGTGAGTTAGGGTGATGGTTACAGTGGGAAAAAAAGTGAACTGCAGAGAGCAAACTCGCCCCCCTTTTCTTTCTATTCCTCTTGCAGCCATGTTGCTCTCAATCTGTTGATTTTAAAAGGCCAGAATGTGAGACTTGGTGAAGTGGGTGACATTACATTTCTTACAAATTGCGAAGTCTTGGTTTGGGGTGCAGTTTGTATTCTGCACACGTACTTGTTAATGTGTGTACACCCCCTGGTTTTGCAGTGGGTCAGCAACTGGTCTGCTATTCCAGATATTTGGAGATAGGATCAAAGGCAGCTGAGCTGAGCTTTAGCAGATAGGGGTTTGCCCTCTTGCTCCCCAAGGGGTCTGCTCTTTAGGGTTTTCCAAGTATTTATTGCCAGGGAAGGCTTAGCAACCAGCTCTGCTTCTGCAGACTTCCCCCATTCTTTCTGGGTAGCTGGAAATACACTGATAAGGAATCCCTAGGCAAGCAGTCAGATACTATCTCAAGACATCTGTCATTCCTACAGACTTCTAGGAGACTGCTCCGACCCAGGAGCCAATGGGGACACAGCCCTCAGGGGGACTCTGGCAGATGGTGTTAAGCTACCTGCTTCTGGTCGGTAAGCCTGATGTTGAACTGGGCAACACCCGGGAAGGACAGACTGGTAATAATTTACTGCACGGGGTGTGTGTGTGTGAGAGAGAGAGAATGAGATGCTCATTTGATACATTGGGCCATTCTGGAATAACTTGATGTTGAATAGCTTTCAAATCCGTGGAAATTCAGCAATTTGTAGGCATGGGAAGGCTGAGTGAGGGTGATACATTAATAAACCGAGAGGCTGCTGTGTAAAATTTGCTCTGAGAGATCTCCGGGTACCAACCTAGTGGAACAAAAGTGGTTGGAGCAGTGAAAACCAAGAGAAACACACAAAGCTCTTTATTACCAGTCTCTTCCTGCTGGAATTTCCCCAGGGAGCAGATGAAGACAGTGGAAAAACACCACACTTGCAAAAGCTGTTTCTTCCTTTTTTTTTTTTTTTCTTGACAATTTATTTGCAAGTCAGAGTTCCAGAGAGAATGGGAAAGACAGGGAGAGAAATGCAGCTGCTGGTTTACTTCCCAGATGGCTGCAATGGCTGGAGCTTCTTGGGGTCTCCCGCGCGGGTACAGAGGCCCAAGGCTTTGAGGCATTTTCTGCTGCTTTTCCAGGTGCATCAGCAGGGAGCTGGATGGGAAGAGAGGCAGAGTTCATATGGCATCGTAGCGTTGCAGGGTTGGGGGATGACTTAACATGCTGTGCCGCAATGCCAACCCTGGTTTCTTTTTCACACGGTGGAAGCCCACACCAGTGCATGTGGATATGCGTTAGAGCCCACAGGTTTTAGCTCAGAAGTTGCCTCCGCGAATGGGCAGCACTTGTGTGGATCTGGAGTCCATCGGGGGGCCTCCGAGTGGGCAGCAGCTGTGACCTGTCACTTGTGTGTGTTTCCATAATCCTCCCTGTACTTGGGTCACCAGTAAATAAACAAGCACTGCCTTCTAACTGCCAGCGTCCCCAGAGGATACTCAGCTTCAAACTCAGAAACTGATCCATCTATCTATTTATTGATTTATTTGCAAGGCCTCATCTGCCCCCTTTCCCCACTGGTGGGTGCAAGGGCCCAAGGGCATGGTCCAGCCTCTGCTGCCTTCC